GGAAAGATAGGTTTTATTGGAGTGTGTTGGGGCCTTTGAATGCAGCACAGGGGAACTTCCTTTCACTTATTTAGGGATGCTGGTTGGAGGAGCTTCAGAATCAGGTGCACTATGGAGACCAATAGTGGAAACGATGGAAAGGAGATTAGATGGTTGGAAAGGAAAATATTCAACTACTGCTATGCATCTTCATTCTTTTTAATATAAAAGATTTTAATTAAAATTAAAGAAAGATGAGATTCTCCTTCCTCTTCTTCTTCCTCCCCTTCCTCCTCCTTTCTCCTCATCCCCCTCCTCTTAAGCCTCCTTGTCACCTCTTACATTCTGAACCATGCCTCACGCCTCTAGGTAGTGGAACACCTCACATCATGCCTCCGCGTTTTAAAACATTGTTACAAACAGCTCCTGAAGCACAAGAATAACTTCAAAAAACTCCTCCAAAAGAGAACTTTAGTTACAAAAACATCCAAGAGACCAAAACCAACAGTGGAGCACCTAAAAGCCCTTGACTAGGAGCCAAACTATGAAATTACAGAAGTACCCCTTGACCCAAATTAGCTACAAAGCTATCCAAGGCAACTATTTGGGATCCTACTACAAAATAAAAAAGAAAAAAAAACATATTTACATCATTTGTGCATATGGAGGTTGGGTTATTGTTATGGCATTTTGTTACATCATTTGTCCGTTCTCTTGTACTTGATTTTTTTCTTTCAATAATTTTTTTCTACCATTAACAAAAAAAGTCAGAGTACTTTGTACTGTTCTATTATTTTAGTATAAATAATAAGTGAAGGGGGCAGCCAGAATTATTGCTCTCTTTTCTTTCAACTTCTCTTCTTCTCCTCTCTTCCTTCTCTCTTCAAAAAACTACACCATGTTCTAAAAGATACGTGGTTAGATCTTTCTCAAAGTACTCTCTTGCATTATTTTATCTAAAAACCTTAGTTCTCACTCCAAATTGTGTGAGAACCATCTGGTGGAACTGTCGTACTAAGTTAGGAACCTCATCACGTGATTTCATCAAATATAGCCAAGAATATCGTGTATAATCATCCACAAACAAGAGAAAGTAACGGAATCCTCCCATGGAAGGGATTTGATATGGCCCCCATACATCAGTGTGAACAATATTAAAAG